ACTTTAAATTTAATATCACGATTGCTAACATTTCCTACATTTTTAATTAAGCACATTTGAATTATAACAGAGAAAGCTGCGGTAGTGAAAAAAGCCTCGTTGCACCAACCAAAATAAGACCAATTGCAAGGCAGCTCGATATTTCAGCTATGCCCACATAACGTCGCCGCTGGTCCACTGATCTGACCCCACGTCCTGTTTGAGCAAGTATGCCGCAGTCTGGAGGTGCCACACGCTTAATTAGTAACTGATTTCCCTCCCAATCTTGGACAAATTAAATCTTGCCTTCAATTTTGCCGTGTAGGGAACAAATTCACTTATATACTACATATACAGGAATTTTGATGTTACATGGTCAGTCGGTTAGTCCACCGGTTAGTCCACCGCATTTGCGACCGGTTAGTCCACCGGTCGCAAATGCGGGCAGAATGAAAAGTTATTATTTGCATGGGAGGCTGATTATCATTCTTGATTGTCGTCATTATGTTTACTGAAAACAAATGCCCTCTATATTCTAATCTTTTAAAGTATATAATAAAATCTTTATATAGATAACTATACCTATGAAACAGCGTAAAGGTGACAACCTAGGCTGCCATTTCAGCTCACGGTGTCATCCGCCACGTGACGATGCTCTAAAGCAGGGGTCTCCAAACTTTTTTCACCAAGGGCCAAGATCAAGCTCACTGAAACCTTCGCGGGCCGGAGAAGTTCGTGGGTGGAGGGAAGGGCAGCATAAATTACGAATAAAATTCGATAGTCAAAATTAGCGCACGAATAACTATTTTATTCTGCAATTCGTCTTACGGAGCAATTGTACACTATCTTCCGTCGCTTAATTATTGGCGCTCATTAATTGGCGTGATAAGCACTGCTCCTAAATACATGGGGGACATAATAATTATGGCTATAATTATTAGAGTGTAATCTTGAAGAATATTCAACGTGAAACAGCATTAATGAGAGGCATAGAATTGTTTCTTTTCATACAAAATAGCATTGAGTTATGGATCAAAATTACTGCTTCCTATGATCAGAATGGATTGTAAATGTTCGTCGGATAAGGCTGCCATGTAGCTAGACTTGACATACTTCATCTTAGAAAATGTTTGTTCGCAAAAATAGGTTATGCCAAAAACGGAAATAGAATCACAAGCAAAGGCTTGTAGATGAGCATACTGCATATTCATCGCTTGGTCGACACTTGTAAAAGTCAATCAGTTTACCTTCTCTGAATCTGTCCTTCAATGCGTCATTGGCTTGCTGATCAATTACTTCCAATTGAAGTTCAGATGGCAAATCTTCAATGGAACAATCAAATGGATTTTGGAAAATCTTTAATTGCTGCAAATGCATGACGTTTTTGAAATTGCTATTTCAGATTGCAAATAATGCCTTGCGCAAATCTTCTTGGGAATGAAGTTTCTCGCTCAAACTTTTCGCAACATGAAATTGCTTGAAACAGTTCCTCATCAACTGGGTGTCAAACAAATTAAATAGCTTTTGTCGGAACGCCTTCACAATTGGGTATACATGTCGCAAATGAGAACTGTTTTGTCCTGTAGTCTAAGATTGAACTCGTTCATGTGTGTGGGCAGATACACAGAAAAAGCTAATTTCCAATGTGAGTAGCGGCTGGGGTCGATTCTGTTCATTCTGAAAAATTTCAATTTCTGCCTGGAGTTAAAAAAAATCGTGACCACATGAATACCTTGCCACAGGTAAGCAAACGAACGGAAGTGTGATACTTAGGTTAAATCTGGATATTCTGCTTCTATCTCCTCCAAGAAAGCACAAAACTAACGATGGTTAAGTCCGTGAGAACGAATGCAGTTTACTATTGAAACAACAAGTTCCATCACAGAAGATAAATCCATATATTTGCCACAGTGCCTGCTGGTGAATAATGCAGTGAAAAACCAAACGCTTGGGACAGCCCGCAATTGCAATAGTTTTAAAAATTTGTCCAACTAACCCTTTTCCAGAGCCGCACATGTTTCTTGACCATCGGTTGTGACGCGCTTGAACCGTTTCTACTCCAGGCCGTAATGCAGGAGAGATTTCTCGACTTCTTCGAAAATTTCCTCGCCTGTTATTGTACCGCGCATGTCGTGCACCGTGACCAACTCTTCAATCACTTCAAAATCTTCTCTGACCCCACGAACATACAGCAACTGCGAGGTAAAAGTGACATCAGTTGATTCATCAAACGCGAGAGAAAAGTACTTGAATTCTCTGGCTTTTTCTTCGAGTTGAGGCACTATATTTATTCCAATATCTTCAACTCGATGAGCAACTGTATTTGCCGAAGGGCTTATAGTTTTAGGCAAGTCTTCTTTTTCCGGACAGAGTTCGTTGGCTGCTTCAATAATGCATAATTTAATTAACTCAGAATCGGTGAAGGGCTTTCCTCGTTTTGCCAAAAGATTTAACACACGGAAACTTGCTCTTGTTGCAGCTTCATTCTCGGCATTCTTTTTCTCGAACAAAAATTGTTGCTCTGCAAAGTTGTGTCTCGGCGCTTCCAGCTTGTCTGCAAGAAGCTTTCCTTTGAGTTGCGAATAGTGTTTTGTATCATAATGTCTCCGAGTGTTGCTCTCTTTCGGCACTGCAATATGCTATCATTGCATATTAACCATAATGCTTTGTTACCAACATATCAAACTCGATAACAAAGTATAATTCTTTAATAGCTATCTACTAAGCGCCGCGCTTGTGTTGCATGAGGCATGGCCCCTGTCAATCGGTCAAGAAGCGCATGCAGAGGCTGCAAAGCGCCTCTGCATGCGCTTTGAGGCACTTGATTCTCGTGTATTGCCCCTAGTGTGAACGGGCCTTTATTAGAATGCTGGTCAGAGCCCGTCTGAATTACGCGGAAATGTTCCGGAAATGTAAAATCAGAAACGAGCGTCGCAAAACTCGCCTCTTGACGACAGAAAACAAGAAAATTTATTTTTGCCCGCAAATGTTCTCAACTGTTCTTTTATAGCAATTCATTGTGTACATTTATTTAATGAATGATTTTCGTTTTTGAAATACAAGTAGTATTTAGATTAAAAAATACTTGAAGAACAAAAACTTTCATTCATAATTCATTATTAACGTGATGAATTTCATCCAGTTTCATTTTAAGGTGGAGTTTAGCACTCTATACGGATTCGGAGAAGGCTTGTCCCTAGCCCACGAGATATCATAGTTCGAAGCCTCCCGTTTGCGTTCATTTGCCTTTGAGGCTCATTCAGTTCGATAACCGGCGCTTGCCTTTGAAGCCTCCTGCTCGAGGCCGCTGTTTGCCATGCGTCCTGCTTCGATGGCAGGTCTATATACTCAGATATAAAACGGTTACCCCATAACCTCGGTCGAATTTCAACTCTTTAACAGCTAGAGCTGTTAGATTAGGAGAGTTGGGATTTGTGGTGAATTACTCTAGAATCTAGATCAAGCAAACTCGTAATACGCGAAACTCCTTAAATGCCTGCCTATCGATTACTCACTGTGCAGCACCATTGTTGTTTTCTTGCCTTTATTAGCCGTAATTTCTGCTAGTAAACTGGTTCTGGAATAAATTAGTGAATTAAAATCGTGATTCTTTCGTCCCCAGAACTAAAAATGACTAACGATTAATCGAAACCCTCCGGCAGAATTTCTAGTGAGCTCGGTTCTGCCGCTCGTTAGCTCATACGAGCTCATCTAATTCGTGCATAATTTAATTACCAATCTTTTTGGTACAGGCCTGGAATTTCTAAGTCACTTCTCGTTTAAATGCTGACTGGCATAATCCATTTGAATGGACCGAATAATGACTGGAGTGGAGGATTCAGTGACTCCAGTCCAGTTTCTGTGTATAGGAAAGCAGGCAGTAATTCGTCCATGACTCTCGTGTGGATACCACCAGACATGCTTAGGCATATATATAGGCTAGACATGCTTATAGCGACTACATGTCATAGGTGTTTAACGGTTCCTGCAGTTAGTCTTTTATAAGTGCTATAATTTTTGCAATAAGTTAACTGCATAAATTACATTTAAAGTTGATTTTTTACCTTACGAAATTACAATTTTATAGTAGTACCAGTTATATCAGTCTTTTCATTTATTAGTGCTAATTTAATTTGAAGTGGTCTAATGAATTCGTAAGGTTTGATACTAAATTATTGGATTCCAAGTTGGCAAGTTTACAGAAGTATTTTCAATGTTTATTTTTGAGACCAAAAATTTTGTTGCTTTCTTTCTAAGCAGTAACTTTTTAGTGGTAATTGAAGTTAGAATTTCTTTTTAAATGTTTTCTCTGGCCCTCTATTGTAATCTAAAATGTTAGGGAAACTATATCTCTGTACTTGTTTTCGTTATTTTTGAAGGGTTCCAATGTCCAGGCTTTAAGATGAAGAATTTCCAGAGTGCCAGAGCGCTCATTAAGAGCTACACGCCTTGTCAATCAGCAGCGCTCTTAAGCCTCCGGCGGTGACGCCTGGGCCATAATCTTAAGCGCCTTCCTTCGACGCGACTTTATTTCTGATGCTGACGGATCGCTTTGTGTACTTTTCCTTTCTTTTATGCCTTACATGGTTCTGTGCTATGACTTTAAAGCTTACTTTTTAAAGTAATTTCAGTGATGATTAATTTTAATCTTGCAGCATTCAGAAATCTATCAGTTTTAACTGTCCAAATAGTGACTCACTTTTTTACTCACAGCACGAGCTGAGAGCAGACGTACCATTGATATGCCTTTTCCCCGGGCTAAACTGGGTCAAGATGACCGACACTAGGTCCAAAGTGCACACTATACAGAAAAGACTTCAAGCATTTCTCTGAGTAATGCTTTAGTTTAAATGAATTTTACGAATCACTTTTCTATCGTAATGTATTTATATAGATAGTATTTAAAATTTGAGACTGTACTCTGTGTACAATTGGGCTCGGAAAAGTTGAATTATTTATTAAATTTGCTCTGCATTAAGAAGTTGTACTTGAATTGATTTTTGTTCTTGTCTTGTTTGCAGCCTAGTGCGATGAGCGAGAGTGCGGCAGAGCAGAGGGACAGCTCGGAGGTGGAGATAAGTCGGTTATTTCCTAAATGCCGACCTCGCAGCACCCCCACTTCCCCCAGCAACCCACCCAGTATCCCCAATTCGTTCTCAACATCTCTAGCGCCTTCTGACTTCTCTTCATACCCCGTTCACTCTAACTCGACGGAAGAATTTTCGGCGAGTCATTCTACGAGCGCCATCATCCACGCTGCACTCAACAGGTCGCCTCACATCAACCCCAACACCATAACCTACTCAGCTAACAGCCTTCCCGTCCACTCACTTTCCAACACTTCGGGCATTATTTCCTCTTTGACTTACGATCCTACTGTGTATACTTCGAACACCCACGTCCTGCCGTTCAACGGAAAACCCTCTTCCGTTTCTGCGCACTCCAAGCCACATAACTTCAACTTTATAGCCGAGTCTGATGCGAACGACAATTACGAGAGATCAAACACGGACGAAGTGCCTCGCATGCAAGAGTCGAGCACCGGTAGTAGCAGTAGCAACACCAGCATCGGAAGCAACAGCAGCAGCAGAATGTCAGTGGACACAGCGTCTTCGAACTGTTCGCCGTCCGGCGGTGTAGTGCAAACTTCCATGAATAACAGCGCTGACGCCTCTGTCATTAGTGGGTATCACGAGGTAGACCATAGCCGCTCTACTGGTTTGGATTCTTCCTACGAAGACGTGTCGGTTCAACAATCGCGCCGAGAGCATTTTAGACTTAGAGATTCTCGTATTGAGGCTGCTGGAGGCCGCGAACTTTACAGTCATAGTAGAAGTCGAATGCATCGTCATCGTGGTGGCAGTGCTTCCCTTGTGACACCTCACAGTAACTCGATGATTATCAGTCAGCAACATTCCAAACAGCAACAGCAGCAGCAGTTGGTCCAGCTGCAGCAACAAAACCAGCAGTTAGGACCTCAGTCACTTAATGCGGTAAACCAAGTAGAACAGCAGATGCACAAGCAAAATCCGCTGGATCACTCGAGCGCCAGCAGCAGTTGCAGCAGAACAAGCCGTGAGAGCGGACTGCCCCCAGACTCTCCTCTTGTTTACGAAGCTCGTCTTGCGGGATCTTCGGAAGTGGTTTTTGATGATATTGGGGAATGGAGCGGCGGGCTGACCGTGCGAGGTGTCGACGGACAAACTCACGCGTCGTCCACGCCAACTTCTGGCCCTGACTCAGAGTCGCCCGAAGTCTCGCCGTCGAGAGTCACGAAAATTGGCAACGTTCCCATCGCTGACTACGAAGGCTCTCCGCGCAGATATGGGCCACGGTCTGGCAACTTACGCATCAGTCCCCGCCAAAATCATTCCATGAGGCCTAGGCCGGGCTTCCCACGACGAGTCTCTACTTTCCCAGAAGATAAAAAAATAACGATAGAAAAACCTGGAATGGGATTACCTCATTCCGAGAACCATCCAAAGAAAGATAAGTGGGTAGGAGATAATGGCGTCCCTAGTAGCGTTTCTCATGTGGACAAAATAGAATCTCCAGTGCCTCATATGATATCTACTCTCACCTCTGTTTACGCTTCCACTCTGAACGATACTATGAACACAAATTCTACAACGTCGACGACCGCATCTGAGAAAGCCTCCGCACCCGTGGATCAGGAACCCATCTACGACTACGAAGTTTCCGAAACCCAAAAGGTACTTCAAGATTTTTTTAAGGATTCTCGTGTTACTCGTACTCCTACACAGGCTTTTTATGATTTAGAGTATCACTTAAAGCGTCATCATGGCAATAGCTACGTGGGGCAGCGTCTGGCTGAAGAATACGAGGCCGACTTTTCAGTTCGCCTGAAAGACGTCGCCCACGAGTCAGCTGAGAGCGCCAGTCTTCCGGACAATGTCCGCAGAAAATCTGACTGTGCTTCTGATGACCAGGGACTGGCTGTGGGTGGTGGATGCGAGGGTCAGGGCGGCCAAGTTGTTAAAATTGACAACTTAGAGGTAAGCACTAGATTGGATTCTACGTTCCGCCACTATCCTCCTTGCTTTAATCGCTGTAATTTGACTCAGCACAGAATGCGGAATTGTAACGAAATTTGCAATGCCGCTTGCACACCCACCTCACTTGATTCGCCTACACACAAATCTAGAGAACTTTCATCTCTGTATTCAACTTGCCATACTGTTCTCCCTTCTCATAACGTTTGCTCTTTTGTTCCTGTCGATGGGAGTCGTGATTCATTCGTTTCATCGGCTAATTTGATTGCCAACATATCTTCATTGCACGAACAATTCAATTCGACACAAACTTTGTCTTGTGGTAAAAGAGGCGAAAACGAAACCATCGTCAGTCTCATCTCATCAGCTCACGTGTGCAACCACGCCAACTTCTCCGAAGAGTGTTGTGCTTTACAAGAGGATTTACTTCAGATTACTAACTGTCGGAGGCGCGAGTCTGCCTCTTCATCACCTTTGTGCTGTGACGAAGTTTCATGCGAAGTGGAAACTTTGATTAGAAAAGACGTAAATGCCGAACGTAACGCCCAGGCGTGTTGTCTAGAAAGTGAGAATGAGGCTAGTGAAAAAGATGAACAAGAAGAACTTGTTGACTTAGAGGCAGAATTGAGAATTTCACTGAAGAGAGACGACGATGAATCCGACGTTGAATGTACCGCTGCTCCCGATTTACCAATGGTTGATAACCTCCTGGACCTTCCAATCGATTTCTCATTGTCTGATGATTTAGTTCCTCTATCGAGTTTACTGGAATGTACCACTGATTTGTCTGTGCCTCCCGAGTCATTCTTAGATGATCGCCCTGACCAGAACGACGGGCCGCAAGACCCGTCCGTAGATAAAGCCAACTCTCAGAAAGAGAAACTCGCTGGAACTTTGGAAGCTTTCCTTTCTGAAGCAGGGCACCAGGTAAATGGTGGTGCATCCTCTTCATTATTCAGGCCTGCATCCGTCATCCTTCTCTCCCTAGTCTCTGTAGAGTCTTGTATCTTTAACTAGAACCTGGTGAAACTTTTGATTGATATGATTTATCAGAACGATACTGAAAGAACTTTCCACATTCTATACCTTGTAGACATCCGTTCCTATATGGTGAAACCTAACCAAGCGATTCTGGGGTTCGCCGCCGCTATTCAAGGCGGAACGCAGTTTATTCTCAGAATTTTCAGTGACGAATACTTGCAGTTCATAACCAAAAAGTTGCCGTCTGTCATGCTTTGGTGAACTCTGACCTTCGCTTTAAGTGATAAACTTCCCTCTAAAAAAATCCTTTAAACACGTGTATTCCTCCGGTTCGTTTAAAAAATTATCGCATTGTGGATTTAATAATCATTAGATAGTATCGTGTTAGTATGTTGTTGCAAGGCAAGAGACTAGTGTGAAAGCCACTACACATGTCAGCAGACTTTTCTTCATAGCAGTTGTCGGTTGGGAACTTTCGACATCGACTAGCTGTTGGCTATTGGTCCTTCAAAATTCAAATTTTTGAAATAGTATTCTTTGTGAATGGGCTTGCCTGTTGGGCTATGATATTTCATTCCTGTTGCATCTAGGTGTTGTTCTCTGAATTGTTTCAGTGTTAGATCAGTCTCTCCTAGTTGTTTTTAGCCCTTTACTTCCCAGCTCAAATCAATATTCCGCAACGAACATCAAAATAAAAATGACGATTATTAAATTACTTCAAGGGGAGTAACGGGTTAGAAAATGTTTTTATCTGGCCGTTAAATCATTGGCATCAGTCATTGTTTCTTGTGTGTGAATTATTTTCTACTGTGTTTTGTATTATCAAAAGCGAATCAGGTGAGTTATATATTTTTGACTCCGGTATAGCATGTGATCACCTAAGTATCCCTTCAAAATAACGTGCATGCTTGTTTTATTTAATCGTGGTGGATAGAATTCACCAGAATTCCATTTATTTTTTTTTCTTTTTTCGAAGTTACTTGCGAAGTTCGGCCTCACTTTAATGTCAATTACTCGTGCGAAATTCACAAGGATCGCGAGAGAGCCTACACCTGGTCACAATTGCCGGAGTTGGTTGAAGTCATTTGGCCGCATTGAGTTCACACAGGAGTGTCTTTTTCTCGCTTTCAAATGGCTGTGGCTTTCATCTGTCTCTACCGACTACAACTTTTCCTTGCGTGTGTCGGCTCTTAATTGTTACTCTGAGGGATTTTTGGACGGCTGCAAATGGGCCTCTCTATTACACGCAACGCGACACTGTTGCCGAGTGCATGCCCGTCTCCGATACTCGCTCGGTCAGCCTGGCGACGTCGGTAACATTTGCCTGTACCGGCTCTCCTTAAAACTCCTGTGCCATCCTGATTTCCTGCGCCAAAATTGATTTCCCTGAAAAAGTTTTGATATTTTAGCAGAGTTTTGCGTTTTTCTATGTTTAATAATGAAAATTCATTAATCTTAACTCAAAAATTTAAAATATTTGATCTATTCGATATTCCAGTAAAAATTTTTTATGATTAGCGGCTATTTATGTCAAAGCATAAAAGTAGTAAGTATTCTGAATGTTGTAGCTCCTACATTCTTTTGCTTACCGACCGAAGAAATTCACATTTTTATGAACGAAAAACGAAGTACCATATTCTTGTATTTAAAAAAAATTCTGGTTTTTAAATAACTTCACTAATTCTCCGTCAGTAAATATCGATCTGTCCAGCTCTCTGAGATATTATTTCTCGAAACAGCTAAAGTTAATCTCACTGTACTTGCGACACACGTAACTATCGTTACCAGGATACATCCTACCTTTTTGAGAGCGTTCATACTTATGGAATACCTGTTGTTCATCCTTATGAATACCTCAACGTTGAGACTAAAACAACATAAAGGTTTTTTATTTTAATTATCCACATTTTAGCTACTATTTTGAGCCTATCAAATTACTCGATTAATTACGATTTGAGTGTTACGAGTGTTACGATTTGAAAATAGTCTGAATTATAAAATCATTTGATCATGAGCCACGCAACGTCAACAGCTCGACATGTGTAATTTATAGTTTAATTAGAATTCAAATGACCGTGCTAGATTCAAACGTCATTTGGATCAAGTTACTTTTTATCACTAGTTATAATTTGGAACGGTTAATTTTATTGGCCCTTGACATGGAAGTCTAATTGGAAGGTTGCTTGATGAACACGTTTGTTATGTAAGACTAAAAGATCCTTGGCGTCGGTTTCTATAAGGACTTGCTAATTGATCACTCCAGTCGTGCCGACAATAACTTCTCCTATAGGTTTGCTTGAGCTTAATTAACACTCCAAGTTCTTTATATCTTATTACTCTGATTTCTGTAGTGGCTGCCATGTCTTATTACTTGTATGGCTTCTTTTAGTGGTCTGCAAGATTATTATTATATTAGCTGTGGCTACAAATCAAGTTTTTATTGCACGTGCGTCTTATTTATTTGCTTATTTTAGTGTTCCGCGAGATTCTAATAATATTATTTCAACTAACGGCTGCAAGCCTTTATTGGCACGCACGAGGGCTGCAAGAACTCTTTATTATCCATATTCTCATGAAAATTTGTGTGGGCGCTAGAGCTTGGCTGCCTATATATATGAGCTCTGGTCTCTAAACTTGAATCTCCTTGTTTGCCTTAGTTATTTTTCTGTCAGAATAATTCTTGCCCTGCACTCCAACTTTCGTAAACAATTTATTTCTTATTAATCTTTAATTCTTTGCATGTTAAAACACGTGTTATCGATTCTCTGTGTGGAGCAATCTTCGATGAATACTGCGAGGTAACGATTTTTAAGATATTTTCTCCTATTGACGGAAATTTGACTAATTTGAAACGGATTCAATCCCATTTTCCTCTGCATTTGTTTTTTGTAATGTGTCGTGTACATCTCTAGTTTAAGTCTTTGGTCTAGACTAGAACTGTTTTTATTTTAGTCCTTTACCTCACATTTTTCGTAATTTGTTTTTGGTCTTGTACTAAAAATTTACGCATTTTCTAGTGTTAACGGTGAACCATGTTCCAGCAATTGTTGCTCATTCTGCGTACTGTTGTTTTGTTTCATCAAAGTTTCTAGTCTTACAAGATTTTAAGAAATACGGCGTTTTAAAACCAAGTTCTCAACGATGCAGACTAAGCAACTTCAGAGGAGCTTTGATCACCGTATGTCAGATTTTTTGAGGGTGAAATTCTCATGTTAATTACCATTGATAGCATAGTTGAGTTAGGTAAAGTTCCTTAAAGGTGAGTTTATTTAACATTAACAATTTTCTGTATTTTTTACGATAGAAAATTAGCATAGATGTGAGTTTATATGTTTCTATTATTCTTTACGTAAACTCGTCGGGCCCGTGCCACAATATAATTGTTGTTTCGTAAAAATCATCATTTTTAATTTGGCAAAGTGCCCTCTAGAACATTTTGCGGCCAATTGCGTTACGGACAATTATAATCGACCGTAATTGATATTATAATATCACTATAATATTATAATATACCGGCACTATTATAATGATTAATAATTATCAATCAAGAATATCCGAAGAATCATCTCTTGTACTTCATCGTTCAGCCTCGATACTTTGACAGTATTGAATGTGTTCATAATGTTCTGAATTTTTTTCACTATTTATAACTAAAATAAAAAGCTATAAAAACAAAACAATTTTTACTTAGGTGCCGTAGGGTATTTTTGCCTGATACGAAGTTGGTTCTCAAGCCTGAGCCTCAATGTCAATTTAACAGCGAGATTGTCCACCTTGTCAAGATCATGCACATTGTACAATCCGTCTATGAAATCTTTGTTTAATATTAAGTGAAGAAATGTCTTAAATTATTTAATTTTATTTTAGAAGTTCCAATGCTTGTGCAATAATTTTCCAAAGAATGACTGAAATATAATCAAGTGTTATTAGTTGTATCCTTTGCATCTATTCTCATGCATACTAAACATCTCTTAATAGAAATAGTTTAGAGTCTTGTGACGTGTGAGACTTTCTGATGTCTCTGATATCTAGCGGTCATGTTTATACGTGATATTGTAACGTTTAGAATTTTTTTAGCCTCCTCAAGTTAGCATGCAGATATTACCGATCTTATTAATTGCACCCAAATGATTTGTATGTCACATATATCGACGTATAAATTCAGTTATTTATCTGACATAGTTATCGTAACTTTTACCTACTCATTCTAGCACACTTACAGCCGACACTCCCTCTTCTACTAACTCACCCTGTCGTGTTCACTTCTCACCCTTCATCCATTCACTGTGCGGCCTCACTCATTATTCCTCCATCCGCTGTGCTGCCTCTAATTTTTCCCTTACCCACTGCCCTGACTCACTCACCCTTCCTCCGTCCACTGTGTTGACTTTCGTACACCATCGTCCATCCACGGTTTTTACACTCACCTTTCTCCCATCCACCATCTTGATCGTTTAACCCTTCCTTCATTCCTCCCACTTTGTTCTGAACCCCTTTCGTCACCTCATTTTCAACCCCATGACTCGAACACCATTTTCCTCTTCACCGAGCTGACCTACCCACCACTTCCGTATCCTCAGCACCAACAGACTCACCTCATTTCCTCTTGCTCCCATCCTCAATCGTCTATCCCCGCGTGATCCCCTACCCTCAATCGCTACCTCCTTCCTCGCATCACCTCTCATCCCCTCACTCTCCTCCCCTTCACCCCACTAACATCCCTGCCCCGTGACGGGCGTCCTCAGAGTTCGAGGAACTTCACGCTGTCGCCGGACTCGACGTCGTGCGACAGCGGAGAGGTGGAGAGCTCCGAGTTCAGCGGCGGCGAGGGCGAGGAGTCGGCGCGCTCGTCTTCACGCGGTGGCCACGGCTCAGCCATGCCAGTACTAGAGGACGGCCTCTCCTCTGGTCAGTACCGCTGCTCGTACCTGCAGCTATTATTGTTCATTTAATTTGTATTGAAGCTTGTGACCACATTCTGTGGTCACATTACACATTTCTTAGATTGTTTCTGTTTAGTTAAAAATGTGTAACTCTTTTCCAACAAGAATATGCAAAAAGGATCAATAGAAACGTCCGATAACGAATCAAATCTCGCAACGTTAGTCTTACAATCAGGGTTGGCAATGATTAAATCAAAATGATTAAATCATGTGATTTAATCACTTGATTTTTTATAAAAAAATCATGATTTTTTTTATTTTTTCGATTTTTTTTTGATTTTTTGATTTTTTCATATATATAAAAATATTGAGAGGCAGTCTTTAATTTATATTGAGGTATTGTTATTCATGCTTTAGTATAAATGTACTATGAATGACAAATTGTATATAAACTTGTTGCCTTTAGTGTGTATTAGGTTTCAATAAATGGAATGTTTTTGGTACAGAGGCATCAAGAGTGCAATACATTGTACGTAGCTAGCAGGTTAGCTAATTCTTATAAGGCTATAAGTAGTCTTTACCTATTTGACTATTTGTTATATATTGATAACAATATACAATTTAAATGTGTTAGCTAGCTTATACAGGGTGGAGCAGAACTGATTGAACAGTTTTGAGGCAAAATAAAAGAGTAATGGAGGTACATAAAGAAGAAAGTTTATTTTTCTCATTATTAGCATAGCATACCATTCAAAATACTTATGTTTTGAAAACAATATCAGGAAGATGGGGTTTGTTAGCTGCATCACACTGTTGGAGTTGTTCTCGGAAGTTTCCTACAGCACGTTTACACATATGGCGAGGTATGGCCATAACCTCTGCTACAATAATCTGTTCCCTTTGCTGTGGTAGGGTGTGAGGGCAACTTCTGAACCCCTTTCTTTTAGATGTCCCCAAAGAAAGTAATCGCAAATGTTCAAATCAGGTGACCTTACAGGCCACTGTAAATCACCCCTCAGAGACACCAGACCTACGGGAAACATGCGATTCAAAACATTGAGTGTTATTCGAGCTGTGTGAGCTGTAGCCCCATCCTGCTGGAACCACACATCTCTCAATGCTTCATTTTCAACAATGTTTTCCATCATGGGCTGTAAGAAATTTTGCCGCATAGCGATTGGAATTCACTGTTACGGTTACTCCCTCCTCTGAGAACAACTCCAACAGTGTGTTGCAGCTAACAGCCCCATCTTCCAGATATTGTTTTCAAAACATAAGTATTCTAAATGGTATGTTATGATAACCTCTAGGAAAATAAACTTTTTGAAGCCAGTTAAATGGTCAATATTTAGCTCATTACCTTGCTCCATACAAACTTTACAAAGCTAATGAATAGACTTTTCAATAATTGTTTACCCAAAAATCCCTAAGTGGTGAACACCACCTTGGCCTGTTGGCCATTACTGAAGGCAATAAGTGCCCTTATTAGCCATCCATTATGATCCATGTACTGTTATTGTTAGTAGGCTAATTGCAACATAAAAAATAACTCCTCAAAAATACAAAAAAGCTGAAAAAATCAAAAAAATCAAATAAATAAAAAAAATCATGAAAAAATAAAAAAAATCATCGATTTTTGATTTTTTTGATTTAAAAAAAAATAAAAAAAATCGCCAACTCTGCTTACAATTGATTTTTGTTATTTGAACAATCTTTAGTCTTTGAAAGTGATAAGCTGTAATACAGACTATGGACACCACAACAATTCTATATGTCGTTTTGTGTCTCGATCCGTGATATGATCTATATTTTAATCTGCTTCTATTTAATAAATTTAGTTAATACCAACAGGCGTTTCAAATGCGACTGAAATTCGTCCAATAAAGTCCAATATTCGGTCTAGTCCGATTTCCATCGTACATGTCTGATCCTTTTTTGTCCCTTAGGCCCTTGAAATATGAGAGCTTGGAGGCGAATTTTCACTGGCTGATATCACTACAGTTGTGCTCGAGAGGCGGCGAAAGTGAAATATGAGCTGAATATTTTGTTACCTTTTTGCATCATTTTGGGCCCAAAAAATTAATGGGCAGGCAGGGCGATTTTTTAAACAATATATAACGATTTATTTCATTATTGAACCATGAAAACTCTGCATTTTATTGATAACTCTGCTCTTATTCTCTGATTTTAAGTTAATTCAAATGGCCATTTCTAAACAAGATCATCTCTGTTTACAATTGGCTGGTCTAGAACGTATGTCAACACATCAGTAATAACGACCATCCGATCTCTTGTCTTAGCGATGCTTCCAACTAAACCATCACCACGCTATGTTGTCCTGACACTCGATCCAGCGACACGTTCCTTATTAGTTCCCTTGATTAGGTTGTTCTCCTTCAATATTCTGTTACAACTGCAATTTGCTGACCATCTTCTCAGTGTTTGTGGCAATTTTGTGTCTGGTATTCTTAGTATCAAATTCAAGATCTTGTGCAATTACGGTTAGGATTCTGTTGGTTTTTCCTTGATATAGTAATTGAGCTGAGCTTCGAGGTTCATTTCGGTGGAAGTTACATGTATTTTCATTTCACGACCTTTTCAACAATACTCTCAGGCTTTCTTGTCTGATATCAGATTTGGTAACCAATTTACATTACGTTCTCATTGCCAGGAACTGGCCATATTCGTTGCGGGCCACGAATTTTTATCTGCTCCCTTATTTATTGTGCATAGTAGTACATTTACTGTGAATTTCTATTGAAATTCTGTCTCGTGTGAAGAATGGAGTTTCTAATTTGCTCACTGAGTTCGCAAACATGGTGTACATTTCTATTAACTCTTGCAAATGCTGTCCGTCATAACCTGAGCATTCCAAATAAAACTCAATATATAACAATGAAGATCTGGTACGACTCAATATATAATTGACTTTTATTAATTGTCTAGTGATATTTTACTCACGGCTCTACTACACAGGCATTCCATGAAGTACTTGCAGTTCTGCCTGCCGAGGTTCTTCTTAATCTTTTATTGCATCAAAGGGATCGAAGCCTTGTAAATAATATTTTTCTGTGCCGCGCTAACTGAAAGCCCGAGCGAACTGAACCAACTTTCCTTTGATTGTTTGCGATTTAATTTTTTCGACTAAAGTTATCATTTCAATTGAAAGTTTGCGGATAATTCGTTTGAGGTTGGATGCCCTGGATGTGAGCAAGTGTTTGATGTGAGCGAACTTATCTAACTTGGTCTGCTAGCCTCGAACTGGAGGTCTAACTTGGTCTGCTGGCCTCGAACTGGAGGTCTAACTTGGTCTGCTGGCCTCGAACTGGAGGTCTAACTTGGTCTGCTGGCCTCGAACTGGAGGTCTAACTTGGTCTGCTGGCCTCGAACTGGAGGTCTAACTTGGTCTGCTGGCCTCGAACTGGAGGTCTAACTTGGTCTGCTGGCCTCGAACTGGAGGTCTAACTTGGTCTGCTGGCCTCGAACTGGAGGTCTAACTTGGTCTGCTGGCCTCGAACTGGAGGTCTAACTTGGTCTGCTGGCCTCGAACTGGAGGTCTAACTTGGTCTGCTGGCCTCGAACTGGAGGTCTAACTTGGTCTGCTGGCCTCGAACTGGAGGTCTAACTTGGTCTGCTGGCCTCGAACTGGAGGTCTAACTTGGTCTGCTGGCCTCGAACTGGAGGTCTAACTTGGTCTGCTGGCCTCGAACTGGAGGTCTAACTTGGTCTGCTGGCCTCGAACTGGAGGTCTAACTTGGTCTGCTGGCCTCGAACTGGAGGTCTAACTTGGTCTGCTGGCCTCGAACTGGAGGTCTAACTTGGTCTGCTGGCCTCGAACTGGAGGTCTAACTTGGTCTGCTGGCCTCGAACTGGAGGTCTAACTTGGTCTGCTGGCCTCGAACTGGAGGTCTAACTTGGTCTGCTGGCCTCGAACTNCTCTTGCACTGAGAAGTAATTTGGTGCTGTGCTCCTGCACTGAGAAGTAACTTTGTGTTGTACTCTTGTACTGAGAAGTAATTTGGTGCTGTGCTCCTGCACTGAGAAGTAATTTGTTGCGCTGGTGTTGCTGATTAAGATTGTCTTAAGCTCCTGGCTTTGCTGGCTGGACGGTGAGAGAAATTTAGCTTATAACACCGACGTATTAATGGCCTTCGCACCCAACTCGGCCATGCGCTCTATGCTTTTTGTTGCATTTTAAAGAAATTTATTCCCTGCACAAAGTCGTAAATTTTGTTGTAAATTCGCCACGGGTGTCGCGCTGTTTTACGTAATTTCTCGCGTCCGTGGCATAGGCCTAGGCTTGCATGAAAACGTGGGGCTTGAATGCTGTTGTTAATAGTGTGCATAAGAAGCCACGATGTGCTATTATTGTGTATAATGCATATCATACATGCGCATTTAATGAGCAATATTGTCAATATCAAACACATGCTCAGTGCTTAATCTTAGGGCAGCCAACATCAAACGAAATATTCATTAATTTTAAATTGGAATAAATGAATTTTTTAAATGAAATCGCAAACAATCAATTTCTCGAGGATTTTGTTAGCGTGAAAGAATTATTACCACACTGTTAGAAAAATGACCGTTAACGGTATTACCGGCGTTTCAGTAGCTGGTCGGCACGTGAAAAGAAACGCCATGTCGCCGTTTTTATTTCAATTTAACACTAGAAATCCGCAAAACATCTGATAAAAACGGCGAAACAGTTTATTTTCACGGGGCGACCGGCCACTAGAACGCCAGTGCACTTGAACAGGTGACGCAATATTCATACTATGCCGCGACATAATATACGTTCAGAACTGAGAGCTACGTATCTCGCAGCGTTTTCTTTTATCTAGATATGCCCTGGCTTAACTCAACAACTTTCATTTGTCGGTCCAAGTGTGAAGAAGGAGCGTGCATTTCCTTGCCGCCAGAGTGTTTTAGCGCCGTCGAGTAGACAAATATTTTGGAGTTGATGTCGGCAAGTTAAGTAATTTTATAGGAATTATTTGTTAAAATCGTATTCTTGATTGTATATTTCATTCATTTTTTCCCTCACGCTATTCTGTACTTTTATCAACGTATTTATAACGTATCAATGTTTTTTTTCTGCTGGGAGAAAATGACGATTTGCTCGTATTTCAGGTGACGAAAGTGAGATGGGTGAGCACCTTGCGACCATTGCTCCCCCGTCGATGCCAGCACACGTTCACCCGCACTACCACTACGCTATGCACCCGCAGCTCTACCAGCAGCCTCCCACGCAGCTCATGGAGGAACCCGTGGGTGTGCCCCCCACACCTCAAGCCGAAGAGAGTCTCACCTTCGAACAGCAGCAGATGAACGAGAAGCTCAGGGAGCAGAAGCAGATCATGCAGCAGGTCGAGGCAGAAGGTAAGCTGCACTACAAACAGATGCGCCTCATTGAAAAACAGGCACAGCTAGAGCTGCATAACAAGCACATCAAACAGAAGGAGTTGGAGAAAAAGCAGCAGCAGCAGCAGCTTAAGCTACAACAACAGCAGCTGAAGTTACATCAGCACCAGCAACAGCAGCAAAAATTGCTGCAACAACAACAATTGCGTACACACCAGCAGCTGCAACAAGAAGAGCAGCCACAGCACAAGCAGCAGAATTCAATTCTTTCCAGCGAGACGTGCGACGTCAATGAATCTGTTGCGCCAAAGTCTAAACTGCCGGCACCTGGCGACGAGTTCACCACCAATGACAAGCAAATAGACGAGGCCGCGTATTCAGGCTTGTCTGTTCAGACTATTGGTGATTCTGAGCAGAAGACAAAGTCTGTTTGGGCGCCACATAATGAACAAGTTGGCAGCAATCGGTCGCCTGTGTTGGATAAGTCATCCTGTGATGTACTACGAAGTGAGTCTGATATTTCCACCTTGGCACCAAGAGCCGATGATTTTTCTCACCTTGAACAACAAATGCAACAAAAAAACTTACAAGAAGTCATGGGGCCCAATCAGATGTTGCCTCGAAAAGATGGGACTGAAAAATCATCAGGGTTCACGTCTCTGTCGGGACGTACCTCACAACACAAACAATCTCTCGGCTGGAGCGACGCGCGCGAGGAAGAGGTAACGCTGCAACCCACGCATGCTGAAGTAGCGCAGCCGCATCAGTTCGCCTCCTCTCAAGTTGAGGTAACACAAGCTTCACAGTTTAGTTCAGAACAAATGCACGAGCCTCAGAAGCACGACGAGAACGGCAACACCCCTGAGGAAGAATCTATGGCAGACGACGATTGGTACAGGAAGAGTGACAAGCCTCAGTCCAGAGACGGCTTCGTCCTCCATCATCAAGAGCAGATGCAGCAGAAGCGCCAGGAACTGCAGCAGGTCCTCAAGGAGCAGATGCTTCAGCACGAGCAGACATGTCAGGAGGAAGCGCCCCTACCGAGTTGTGCGATGCAGCAGCATCTGGAGGAGCAGCAGCAGCAGAAGATGTTGGCTCAGCAACAGAGAATGCGTTCGTTCGAAGACAAGCTCTGCAGAGGAGAGCTTCCTCCCTCGTCTCCTGGTGAAAAACTAAGTCACGAGCACAACGTTGATGCGCCTGCATCCAATAACGCCCCTTCAAGTCAGGAGCGTGAGTACCAAATGAGGACGTCTGGTAACGTTTCATCAGAAGCATCTGCCAACTCCAGCGTTACTTACGACATGGACACGACGAGCGTTGCTATGACAGCTTCACCCATCGCCACAAGCTCGCCGCTGATCGCTCCCGTGTCGTACGCTAACGGATCGCTGTCGTGTGGCAGCTCCCCTCACGCAGCGTACCCTTTGTCGCAGTCCCTCGGGTCCTCGCCTCATATACCCTCGACTCGTCCTAACTTCTACACGAGAGGTGCACCACATCCCTACTACGAGACCCGGACAATGCCTGACCATCAGACTCGTCCCATGGCGGACCATCAGACGCGCCCCATGCTTGACCGTCAGACACGTCCCATATCGGACCATCAGACGCGGCCCATGACTGACCATCAGACTCGTCCAATGTCTGACCATCAGTCACATTCCATATCTGACCATCAGACTCGTCCCATGTCTGACCATCAGGCTCGTCCCATGCCTGACCATCAGATACGTCCAATGTCTGACCATCAGGCACATTCCATGTCTGACCATCAGGCTCGTCCCAAGCCTGACCATCAGACTCGCCCAACGCCTGGCCATAGCTTTGCCAACAACTTCCAGTCCCCAGACGCGAGTTCCCATGTGATCGCTGGTAATACCTATACATCCGGTGGCAATTTCCACACCTCTAGTGGCATTTCCTACTCATCCGGTGGCATTCCCTACGCCTCAGGTATAAATAGTCTCATCACTGGAAGCTTTTCGCACATTCCCGGTACGAACGCCCGGATGTTCAGCAGCAACAGCCACGTGCCTGCGACAAGTGGCTACGGGTCGGCAGGCCATTTCGATATGCTGCCCTCACCGCCATACCTCAACCCCATGATGTCAGCCAACGGCTCGGCTGCGACATCGCTGTCCTCGTCCACGCTGAACCTCATGAAGAAGCAGATCACGGAGATCGAGCGCGAGATCGCCCTGCGTAAACCCGACCCTTCGTATGTCGCCGGGTCCTCGCGACATGGGGACCTGCCCGCGGGCCCTGTCAGCTCTACCCTCGACCTGCAGCTCCTCGACCCCCTCAGTGAGGAGATCTCCTCGTATTTTGTCTTGAATTTTGAGTATGAGGTAGTGGTTATTTTTGCGGTGGAAATTATCACCACCAGTACCAGGGTAGAGAACCTCTTACGTTGTAGACGGCACGTTTCGCTCATGGTATCGCTATTTTTCAATTAAAGTCAGATTATTTGTGTGTCTTTGTGTAGCTTTGAATTAAATTTCGTATTCCTAGTTCAGCTTTGTCCTTTTTTCCATCCTCAATAATTTCAGAACTTCCAGATTAGGTTTTCCTTATTTTACTTTAATTAAATCACCCATCGATGAGACGAAAGATTTTTCAGCTTGCTCATGACTTGAAGAGAAGTGCTTTTATCTCGCAATTCTCGACAGATAATAAACCATTACGTATTTTTTGAAGATACTTCCCGGGTGGTTCACTCCGCCGTATTTAGCTGCATTTCAACTTGTTAAATAGACTGGCTTTTTAAGACCAAGCCACGCCAGGAATTTTAATTGGTCTACTGGAGTTACTGGTAATAAAGATGGCACTAATGCCATCTTTATTACTTTATTAGCGTCTAACCGGAATTTATTTGGGATTGCATCTAAACATGTTTCCTTCACAATATTGTGTTCATATGACTGTAGTTTTCCTTGCCTGTTCGTATTACTGTTTGGCATGAAATCTTTGTTGTAGTTTACCATTAATTCTCATAAGTTTCAAATGTTCCTTGTTCGTGTGTTTTTCATGCTCAGCTGGCGTGAGCTGCAAGATTCATGGCGTCTTATGCCTGTCAGGTTATCACTATTCCATTTATCACTATTCCATTTAAGAAAGCTGTATACTCTTTCGTTACTAACTATAAATAAATCTGTGTTGAATTTTGAATTCCACTGAGATTAGAACATCTATTTTGTGCTGCATGTACTTATGTAATCTTTTGTGCTAGTTTGTAGTAGAATATGGTCTTCTAAATAGTTTTTTTGTGTCCCAAAATGCCAGCTTATTTGTCAGTACCCTTATTTTATTGCAACGAAATCACATTTCCAATTTTTTAATATCTAAGTGACTAGACTTAGCTCTGTGCATCAGTGGTACGAAATGTCACTTCGCTCCTCGTGCTCTATTCTGTACAATTTACCTGATTTGTACCACACACCTTATTTTGTACCACACGTCTTATTTTGTACCTCACACCTTATTTTGTACCACACACCTTATTTTGTACCACACGTCTTATTTTGTACCTCACACCTTATTTTGTACCACACACCTTATTTTGTACCACACACCTTATTTTGTACCACACACCTTATTTTGTACCACACACCTTATTTTGTACCACACACCTTATTTTGTACCACACACCTTATTTTGTACCACACACCTTATTTGGTACCACCTAATTTTTACGTACGTAGAATTTCAAACCACTCTTCTTTGTAAAAATTGATCGAATTCGTCGTTTTTGCACGAGTGAAATATTTTGCATCGTGTTGTAGTACAAAGTATTTAATTTCTTTTATGATATCTATAGTTTCCAGAGTTCAGGTTTCATGTTAAATTAAAATTTTAATTTCTTTATTTGCTGATGGTTGCCTGCCACTCAGCGCGACTTTGAACGTTTAAATACATATATTTAGCAAAACGTGTTAGCCATTTTTATCTTGAATTTTGTCTGCTATTATGACTCACATGTTTGCTATTCGAGTTAATAAATGTTTATATTAAATACGGTATTTTTTAAGCATTTATGTCTATTTATTTCTTAGTTATACACTAAATTAATGTTTTGTTGACAGTAGATGCTCGTATAGTTCTTCTTTATAATGCAGGATGAACTATCAATAAGAGTTTGTCAAATGCATCCTGCGTCCTACAGGATAAAGCTTTTCACTAGACAAATAGAACAAATTAACCGAATATTAGTGATTTCCTTTCTATGTTCAAAATATATCATGGTTTTAAGGAATTTCTAACGTGCAGATGATAAGATGGGAGAACCTCCCCCGCCCCCCGCCCCCCACCCCCACCGAGGGGGCGGTGCTATCCTTGAGAACGGCACATTACCGCAGCACAAGAGCAGTGTACTGCACAGTCCGCACTACACGCCGAGTAAGAATCATCATATACATCATTACATTATTGAATAGTGATGTTATGATGGCGATTATTAGGCCGATATTCTACCCAATAATCGCGGGAAATCTGATGGCTGCGGGAATAATGAGCTAATATAATATATAATATTATAATTCTGCGGGAAATCTGATGGCTTCTGAGATGACCTGATATGAGGTTAATTGATAGTGATAATCAAATGTACAATTCATAGGCAATATTGATGTTATCAGAGGAACTCATGCACATGTACAGAGCAAGAGAATCTGTGTAGAAGAAACTCGCTGACTGCATATTTTGATCTGGCCAGTCATAGCTAGACTAGTCGTTCGTTGGCCCGTTAGTGTTCAATATAAAATTTTTCACTAATACCTGGCAATATGAAAAAATAGTAGCCTAATTATAATAGCATTTGAATATGAAGAAACTGAAATGTGACGAATTGGTCACTTTTGCCGCTGTGTTATTTAATGTTCGCTTCAATTGGTTCGACTTGATTGGATGAAGCGTAAGTTGGATGAAACAGGTATACTTATCAGTTACTTGTGGGCAGTTACTTATCAGGTGGAAGTTTGTAATGACATAACGCAAATCAAACTATTTCCTAATAATTTTATTGTAAGGAAATAATTTCATTATTATATCAATATTGAATCCGCGGAAAGTTATCCGAAGTTCCAACGATCTCAGGGCGACGTTCAAATTTAGAGCCGAAATGTAAAACGGACAGTATAACTAAATCAACGCAATGAGCTTCTGATATCAGTGAGTAAACAAATATGTCAAATTTTTCTAAATTCGAACGGCACAGAAATGTACACGGGTAATATTTTATGGCATGCACACAAACGAAGTAGGCAGCAAGTACATGCAGTGTAAGACGTACAAGAATCAGAACTATACTGAAAGTGATGAGTAATAAAACTGTTAGATCAATCTTTTGAGTCTGACATTTGAATTGTAAACAATATGCACAGAATATGATTATAATCCTAATTATTTTAATGCCTTCTAAAATATTGCTGTAGGTTGTATCAAGTAGTGGCGTAATGCCTTTTAGTGACGGTTTAAATTAAGGCTAGGGTAATAAATAAAAGGTCGGCCGAACCTCAAGAAGATTGTGGTTAGTAAGAGGCCAGTGGACGGTCGTATGGTGAAACGTTTAATGCAATATAGGGATCTGAGTTTTCATATCGTGACCGACGGAATTGAATACTGGCTTGAGGGCCTTCCGGCAAGCTTTGGAGCAAGCTATAAACGACCCAAAGGCAATAAGTAGCTAGCAAAAGGGGTGTATCGTCACACTTTGCATAAACAGCTCAAATCATGGGTCACCACAACCATTTACCCCGAATCTTGTCTAACAAAATATCGGAAACCTATGATTTAAGCTGTTTATGCAAAGTGTTACGATGGGTAATATTCGAAATAAGATTGTGAGTAAATGAATAGGTTTTATTCAGGGGTAATTGGTTAATTTTGTTAGACAAGATTCGGGGTAAATGGTTGTGGTGACCCATGATTTGAGCTGTTTATGCAAAGTGTGACGATACACCCCTTTTGCTAGCTACTGCAATATGTTGGGCCGAACTAATTAACAGGAGTCATTTTCATTCATAAATTCAATGGTGCTTGCGGTAAGACGTCACAATAAAGACGAGGTCGTCACCAATGCATTCAATGTCACCAACTCCGAAGTGCTCGCAAATCCTATTCTATTCCCTAATTTCAGCTACCTAAACCTACACTTAATCTTCCTAGTTGCTACTACATTAAATGAAAAAAAATTTCCTGGAAGTTACCAGTCAGTGAGGTGCTCCAGTACAGCTTCTCGTTTGCTGCATCACTATCCTCCTTAGTTCCTGTGACCTATTATTATTAGTAGTTGCACTGATTAAGCTGACAGTATCTGAAACAAGTGTAGCATGATAAAATTATGTAAATACTATGGTGATACATTAATGCTGAACAACACATGCAATTTGTTGAATAATAGACAAATAATACTAGGAAGACAATATTTGTTTTATAATAGCCAGACATGTACTAAACGTGTTCGGTGTTCAGCGTGCGACGGGGCGCTGCTGCTGAGCTCCCTGGGGCCCATCACCAGCCCCGGCCTGCCCCCCTCTGGCCTGCCCAGCTCTTCTGCTCCTCCTGCGTCAGGGCAGGACCCTTCCTCCTGCACTGCAGGTCTGTAGAGCCTCTTGCTCTGCAGGGCAGTTCCATGCTTTGTTTTGGAACTACGCTTCATAAAACAATTGATACTCAGTCGTGCTATTAGCTAAATAATTGATTCATGACATTTTTGTGTATGATCGCTCGACTCAAAATGATTAACTTGAGTCAATGTGTGGAGAGTTATCTTGACAAAAGTGTTTAATTGACAGTATTGTCTGACTGTTGAAGAATGGTTTATTTATGAATAATTTTTCTCATTGGTAGTCAATGAAAGCGCAGGCCACAAAAGAGAAAGCGTAGCTGCGGCCATCGCGGACATAAAGCAAGCCATCCGCCGGACCAAGAACCTGCCCCTCAAGTCTGCCGCGGACCGCAACAACGTCGGCCCTGACACGCCCGTCTGGGTGCCCAGGTGCGTAGAACTTGTCTCCTGGGTGCCCAGGTGTGAAGAACTTGTCGTCTGGGTGCCCAGGTGTGTAGAACTTGTCGTCTGGGTGCCCAGGTGTGTAGAACTTGTCTTCTGTGTGCCCAGGTGTGTAGAACTTGTCTTCTGGGTGCCCAGACTTGAAGCAGCCTGCTCAGAGTAAGCGGCCTGTACAGATTAAGCGGCCTGCACAGAGTAAGCGGCCTGTACAGAGTAAGCGGCCTGCGCAGAGTAAGCGGCCTGTACAGAGTAAGCGGCCTGTACAGAGTAAGCGGCCTGCACAGAGTAAGCGGCCTGCACAGAGTAAGCGGCCTGCACAGAGTAAGCGGCCTGTACAGAGTAAGCGGCCTGCACAGAGTAAGCGGCCTGCACAGAGTAAGCGGCCTGCACAGAGTAAGCTGCCTGCACAGAGTAAGCGGCCTGCACAGAGTAAGCTGCCTGCACAGAGTAAGCGGCCTGCACAGAGTAAGCGGCCTGCACAGAGTAAGCTGCCTGCGCAGCTCGTCGAAGTATTGGCAGCGTCGGCGTCTGGGGAACTTCAGTGTGTTGGTGCAGGGAGCAGCTCCTGTGCTGCTCTTACCTGGAATGTTGTTGTCTCGCTCCCGCGGGTGTTGTGCTTCGAAATTACGTCTGCTTACGCTGCCTGCCTTCTATCAAGCCTAACTCCGCTGCTTCTTATATTTTTTTTCACTTTTGTACATTTTTTACGAATTTTACATTTTCCCCACTCACAACAGGGCAGTTACAGATCACAAGATACCTGTGTTTTCTATTCATCTGTTGACTGCCAACCTTCCGATTAATGACTAAACCTTACTTCAGAGCTGGGCAAACCTCAGTCAGAGAAATGAGGGAGACGTTGTTCAAACAACGATGCACTGTTTGCCCTTGTGTATATTATCCTGACTCAGTTGGACCCGAAAAATTAACAGTATTACGGCTGCGGCACCAATGTGTGTAAATGTGTCACTATTTGGGCAATGTGACACATTCATCTTTGTGAGTGTGCGGCCCGAGGGCAGAACGCTAGCATGTTGTGCGCCGCACGCGCTTATTGGGATGCTATGTAGATTCAATTTGTTCATTTATAAATGAAAAATTTTCGAGTGGTTCCACAAACAGTAAAATTTCGATCGGCACTCACTTCACATTAATTTTCATTTAGCAGCCTGTTCTGTAAATCAAGTTGATGGTCTTCATAACTCTCATTATTGACAAAATTAACTTCAGTTAAGGTAATTCTGAACAGTTAGATATCATTACCATATTAATGACTGGTCTAATTATTATTTCAAAATGCATTGTGAATTGAAAGAAACTCAAACACTATTGTCATTATTGATATACATTTTATGCATTCGTATTTGCAGTTGACTTGTGCACAATAATGTTTGGCCATATAAGATATGGGCATATGGCCATATGATATGGTTATCAGTACAGCCTTTTGTTGGAAAACTTTGTCACCCTCTTGCATTTCTCTTCTTACTCCGTCATAATACATTATTTAAATTAACATTACTGCGCTATAATACCTGATCAAAATTAACATTACTGCGTTATAATACCTGATCAAAATTAACATTACTGCGTTATAATACCTGATCAAAATTAGCATTACTGCGTTATAATACCTGATCAAAATTAGCATTACTGCGCTATAATACCTGATTAAAATTAATATTACTGCGTTATTATACCTGATTAAAATTAATATTACTGCGTTATTATACCTGATTAAAATTACCATTACTACATTAATTAACATTAAAATTACATTACTTCTTATCCACTCAAGGTCAAAAATCACCGATTTATGGAAAAAGTCACACTCATATCTCTGGTGTTGAGAGCAATGTTACATATAAATGAGTCAAGTTTTCAGTTTTATCCACGATTTCTTGGGGAGATTTGCCTTTAGGAAAAATTAATAGAAACAAATTAAACAGCAGAGTACACAGGGGTATACAGATCTCAAAGAGTACACAGGATGTACACAGATTACACAAAGCACACAGGGGGTACACAGATCTCACAGAGTACACAGATTACACATAGTACAGAGGGGTGTACAGATCTCAAAGAGTACACAGGATGTACACAGATTACACATAGTACACGGGGGGGTACACAGATCTCACAGAGTACACAGGATGTACACAGATTACACATAGTACACAGGGGGTACACAGATCACACAGAGTACACAGTATGTACACTGATTACACATAGTACACAGATCTCACAGAGTACACAGGATGTACACAGATTACATATAGTACACGGGGGGGTACACAGATCACACAGAGTACACAGGATGTACACAGATTACACATAGTACATAGGGGGGTACACAGATCTCACAGAGTACACAGGATATTCAGAGATTACACAAAGCACACAAGGGGGTAGTAAATTAAATGTTGGGTGTATTGTCCGTAGATTTCCATGACAAGATGCTATGTGAGTGACGACTAATTCAGGCATAAATTACTATGTGTGTTAATAGTTCGTATGCATGTATATGTCGTGCCGAAATCGCAGAATTACCAATTCCATAGAATCGGCAATTCCGCGATTTCGGCACGACATGTACATGAATAGTTCTATTTCTAGTTTCATATCATTGGCTTTGAAGCTATCTAATTATAATTTGCCCAATTAGGATTCAGCTGTATTCTACAATTATGTGTCTCTTTGATGGCTTGAATGTGTTCTCGAATCGAGATTATTGTGTTAATTAATGTATTGATAGCCTTCCCAAATATTCCTATCACCTACCTAGTAATAAGCTGCCTATCACCGTCATATGTTACCGTACGTTTTTCATGCAAAATTCAAAGGAAGCAAAAATTCTTGCTGTTTCATTTCATTTATTTTTACGATTTATGGAGAATTTGTATTTTTTCGTAATATGTTGTCAATAATTAGTATTTGCGTCAGAGCCTCGAGGAGAAGTGACGGGCCGGTCCTGGGGTCCCCCAGCGACGGGCCCGTGCCGCTGTCCCCGACGTCGTCCTCGGGCGGGACGTGCAACCACGTCGAGAACGGGCCAGCCCGGCCCGACCAGCGGCACGATGAAGGTACGTACGTCTCTTTAGTGCGTCTCTTTAGTACGTCTCTTTAGTGCGTCTCTTTAGTACGTCTCTTTAGTGCATCTCTTTAGTGCGTCTCTTTAGTGCGTCTCTTTAGTGCCTGTCTCTTATACACATCTAGATGTGTATAAGAGACAGTGGTTACCTTGAAGAGAAGATTTATTGCCTGCGCCTGCAGGAGAGTATAACAACCAAAGGTCTGGTCGTGCTTTAATCTAGATGTGTATAAGAGACAGCACTGGTTGCCTTTGAGGAAGACGAGCTCGCTCGTCCCGTTTGCATGAAAGGCTCCCCACACCATTACACTGCCCCCGCCATTTTGGCGGCTAAAAGCTGCCTTTGGATCATTCCTGCGGCAATGCCAGTAGTACTTCAGACCATCTAGGCCATCCAAATTCCATTTCTTCTCATCAGAGAAGATGGTTTTGGCCCAGGTGTCATCACTAGTACTTGCATGCTTTGTGCCCCAGGCGACCCTTGCATGCTTGTGAGCATCGGTCAATTGGGGGGCCTTGTTCATCTTCACGTATTGGAAGATTCCGGAGGACGCGAGGGTGCGAGAGACGGTAGACTTGGAGACATTGAGCTCCAACTTTTGGACTAGTTTGGGCGCGGTCAAGTCGCCGGGCGCCGCAACTCGGAAGAGGCGACGCGTGTCACGGGCCGACACCTTCTTTGGGCGGCCTTTGGTGTGCCGCTTTCCGTAGTTCACGGGGTCCTTGAGATAGTTGAAGATGGCTTTGCGGCTACACCCCACTTGTGCCTCCATTTGACGCTGGCTAGGACGCTCGCCCTCAGGCAGCGCCATCAGGGCTTGAATGGCACCTTTCTGAAACTCAGTTAGAGGCTTTCCTGCGTCCATTTCTTGCCTAGGTGAGCATAAGATCCGTGCACAACTACTACGCTGTGAACGCACCCTTTGCAGCGAGTCTATACGCTGCGTCCTGTCCGCAAGAGCGCCAAACTTGCAAAGTGGGGCTAGCCTTTTGCGTCAGTGCAAAAAACAGACCGCTTGATTTTTCCGCCAGTAATTAACTTTTTCACCAAATTTCACCTGCTATAGATTACTGAGACCAAGACGATTCGTTTGTCACCATTTGCACGTTGAAACTGGCAAAACTCGTTGTCTTATGATGTTTTAAAGGGATGGGGCTAACCTTTTGCGTCGGGCTGTAGTACGTACTTTAGTACATTTATAAGTTTTGCATTTTATATACTCTAGTACATTTCAATCATCATTTTTGATATTAATTAATAATTTGATTATTAATAAAATAACCGTGGCCGTAATAAATTTGTTGATTGACTATTGACAAATGTATTATTATTGTGTAATTCAATTATTATTATTATTATTAGCGTGTATCTCTGGGAGTTGTATTAAGTGCCCCTAACTATCGTTAGCTGTAGCCTGACTATGGATGTACTGAGAGATATGACTGAGACTTGTCCAAACCACGATGCACTTTTGGCCTTTCTGTGGGTCAACCTGACACAGTTTTGCCTGGCAAAAATGGCGTAGAAAGTCTGTTACTATTGTGAAGATAAGACTCGCATATTTTTCTGGGTGAAGTGAGGAATTATTTTCTTACAAAGAATGAGTGAGCTTCTGGCGTGGAGCTGCAAGTGGAAAATACGAGTAAATGGATGATTGCAGTTTTCAAGTGGTGAATTAACGCGGTTAATTAATATAAAGTGGGATTTATTTAACGCAGTTAATTATTCGAAAGTAAAATTTATTTAACGCGGTTAATTAATCTAAAGTAACATTTATTTAACGCGGTTATTTAATCTCAAGTAAAATTTATTCAACGCGGTTAATTAATCTAAAGTAACATTTATTTAACGCGGTTATTTAATCTCAAGTAAAATTTATTCAACGCGGTTAATTAATCTAAAGTAAAATTTATTTACGTGATTTATTTAAAGAGAAAGTTATTTAGCGTGGTTATTTAATATAAAGTAAAATTTATTTAAAGCTATTAATTGATCTAAGGTAAAATTTATTTAACGCGGTTAATCAATCTTAAGTAAAATTTATTTAACGTGGTTATTTTATCTCAAGTAAAATTTATTCAACGCGGTTATTTAATCTAAAGTACAATTTTTATAACGCGGTTAATTGATCTAAGGTAAAATTTATTTAATGCGGTTAATTGATCTGAAGTAAAATTTATTTAATGCGGTTAATTGATCTGAAGTAAAATTTATTTAATGCGGTTAATGGATCTGAAGTAAAATTTGTTGATAGTTGCAAGGGTTTAATGATGCATCGCGAATCCTGCACCGAACTGTCATGGCCGACGCGCGTTGGTGGCAACGACGTCGTGTGGCGGTGGCGCAGGTACCGCGCGGTTGCCTTTCTTACCGTGCGTTACCGTGTCTCTTACCGTGCTTTCTTACCGTGCGTACACCTAGCTACTGTCTCTACCGTGCAGCAATTTTATAATTACCGTGCAGCAACTGTAGGTACCGTGTTGTTACCGTGGTTGCGTGGCTAGGTCGTGGTAGTTACCGTGGCCAGGTCGTGGCGCAGTTACCGTGGCCAGGTCGTGGTAGTTACCGTGGCCAGGTCGTGGTAGTTACCGTGGCCAGGTCGTGGCGTAGTTACCGTGGCAGGTCGTGGTAGTTACCGTGGCCAGGTCGTGGTAGTTACCGTGGCAGGTCGTGGTAGTTACCGTGGCAGGTCGTGGTAGTTACCGTGGCCAGGTCTTGTTAGTTACCGTGGCCAGGCCTTGGCGTAGTTACCGTGGCCAGGTTGTGGTAGTTACCGTGACCAGGTCGTGGTAGTTACCGTGGCCAGGTCGTGGTAGTTATCGTGGCCAGGTCGTGGTAGTTGCCGTGGCCATGTCGTGGTAGTTACCGTGGCCAGGTCTTGGCGTAGATACCGTGGCCAGGTCTTGGCGTAGATACCGTGACCAGGTTGTGGTAGTTACCGTGGCTGATCGTGGTAGTTACCGTGGCCAGATCGTGGTAGTTACCGTGGCCAGGTCGTCGTAGTTACCGTGGCCAGGTCGTGGCGTAGTTACCGTGGCAGGTTGTGGCGTAGTTACCGTGGCCAGGTCGTGGCGTAGTTACCGTGGCAGGTCGAACACACGGCCTGTGAGGCGCAATAATTTGATGCGTGGCAGGCAGTGAGGCGGAGGCTGGGGAGGCGGGAGGTTGTGTTGTCCCATTAGTGGCGTTCTCTTGGGGCTGCCTCGCCCCGCCTCAGAGGAGCTGCTGAGGCTGACAATGAATTATGGTGCTCGATGGAGAGGCTGAATGATGGCAGGGATGAATAGTGCTTGTAAACGCTCGTGAATTTTGATGGTGAATGTAAATCGTGCGTGATTAGTGTTGCTGAACCTGGTGCGGAATGGATGATAGTTTTGCTATGTCTTCCCATCTCATTGTGTGCTCTGAAGTGATGTGCAGTGCTGTGTGTGCAGTGCTGTGTGTGCAGTGCTGTGTGTGCAGTGCTGTGTGTGCTGTGCAGTCTGCGCACGGCTGAGTGTCTGTGTTGTTAGGCAGTATTGTGTGAGCTGTGTGCAGTGCAGTGTTTGGGGCAGCGCTGTGTGTACAGTACTGGGTGTGCAGTGTTGTGTGTGCTGTGCAGTCTGTGCGGGGCTGAGTGTGTTGTGTGAGCTGTGTGCAGTGCTGTGTTTGGAGCAACGCTGTGCCTTCAGTGCTGTGTGTGCAGTGTTGTGTGAGCTGTGTGCAGTGCTGTGTTTGGAGCAGCGCTGTGTCTTCAGTGTTGTGTGCAGTGCTGTGTTTGGAGCAGCGCTGTGCCTTCAGTGCTGTGTGTGCAGTGTTGTGTGAGCTGTGTGCAGTGCTGTGTTTGTAGCAGCGCTGTGTGTGCACTGTTGCGTGTGTAGCGTTGTGTGTTGTGTATGCTGTGTGTCAGTCTTCATTACCATGCGCTGCCGTAACGTAATCTACCAGACAGCCGTAGCCGCAATACCTGCTCGGCGTGTTCCTCTCACTATCATGCAGCGTGGAAGTTGAGAGAAGCTGTCGCTTGAACTTCATTGTTTGGAATTCCAATTTGGGGACATTTTCTACCAGGCAAACTTAGTGCACGTGTGCTCATGTAAATTTCTGTTCCGAGTCGTTTTTATTTTACTATTCATGTAAAATACAATTTGAAATGCTTGAGATTTTTTTTAATACAGGAAAATTATACTAAAACTAACAAAAAGCCAAGGCAGATGAACGGAAATGAATGAAAAATTCATTCAAATGCTTGGACACTATTGGTTCGTGAGCTCCGAATGATTTGCGACTTTGTTTGCTCACTCCTGAAACCCTGGCATCCAGGATCCTTAAGATGGGCTTGAAAATAACCAGTTTACAACCTGACATTCTAAAATATTAGAATGTCATGTCTTCAGCCTTATAGGTGACTCCCTAAGACTCGGGAAGCACGTAAATCAGCAGCTATATTTCCGCAGGCTTATTCTTTCGCATTCCAAGTCACAGCTTCTAGAGTTTCGTCTCGTTTCATTTATCATGATGGCTACGAGCAAAAGCAAAATTTTTATTTCGTCACAAGCAAAGAATGATATGAGAGGAAAATTTAATGCATTCATTAGTTGATGCAAATGGCTGTTGCAATCGTTGGATGAATAAAAAGAGCGTGCAAGTAAACTCAGTCATAAAGTTTCCTGCTTAACACGTGATATTTATCAATGATTTACCATACTCCGAAATCCTGCTCCCATTATTCACTTTGAACAATACAATTACTTAATTCTCTGATTATTATCAAACAAAGTGAAATGAGGCAAAACTGTTGAGATTATGAGGTATGTGATGTCTCACGATCAAATTTGGTACTCGATTGACTAAATTTAGTTTTCCGACTCATGCTAGGCTATTTTATAGTATGCATTCGCATCGCGACTCGTTTCTGGTGGTACCCTGAGACTATATATTAGCGCCAATATTTCCTGGATCACAATGTTCGGGAACAATATATACGGCTTTCGAAGATTACACCCGTAATC